CACCTAGACTTCTCTCATGCAATGACAGGTTGTATTGACATTGGTTACTGACATTCCTGTCTCTTATACACATCTACGTCTGTATGGTCGTGAGAAGACGTCTGTATGGTCGTGTGAAGACGTCTGTATGGTCGTGTGAAGACGTCTGTATGGTCGTGTGAAGACGTCTGTATGGTCGTGTGAAGGTGTCTGTATAGTCGTGTGAAGACGTCTGTATGGTTGTGTAAAGCTATGGTCGTGTGAAGACTGCTATGGTCGTGTGAAGACATCTGTATGGTCGAGTGAAAACATCTGTATGGTCGTGTGAAGACGTCTGGATGGTCGTGTGAAGGCGTCTGTATGGTCGTGTGAAGGTGTCTATATAGTCGTGTGAAGACGTCTGTATGGTCGTGTGAAGACGTCTGCATGGTCGTGTGAAGGCGTCTGTATGGTCGTGTGAAGGTGTCTGTATAGTCTGTCTCTTATACACATCTAGATGTGTATAAGAGACAGAGACGTCTGTATAGTCGTGTGAAGACGTCTGTATGGTCGTGTGAAGACGTCTGCATGGTCGTGTGAAGGCGTCTGTATGGTCGTGTGAAGGTGTCTGTATAGTCGTGTGAAGACGTCTGTATGGTCGTGTGAAGACGTCTGTATGGTCGTGTGAAGGCGTCTGTATGGTCGTGTGAAGGTGTCTGTATAGTCGTGTGAAGACGTCTGTATGGTCGTGTGAAGACGTCTGCATGGTCGTGTGAAGACGTCTGTATGGTCTGTCTCTTATACACATCTAGATGTGTATAAGAGACACGTCTGTATGGTCGTGTGAAGGTGTCTGTATAGTCGTGTGAAGACGTCTGTATGGTCGTGTGAAGACGTCTGCATGGTCGTGTGAAGACGCCTGTATGGTCGTGTGAAGACATCTGTATAGTCGTGCTTAAGGATTTTTGTATTTTTATAAAATTTTTGCTCACGCATGTAATGACGTATGTTGTACATGAACGTGTGTGATGCGAGCCAGTGAAAATATGATTCTAAAAGCTAGCATTTAGAAGGTCACAAGTTCGACCATAAAATATCAGTCTCTTATCAAGACAAGGATTTCATACGATACCAGTATAAACTGATAGCGGGAATTGTGAAAACTCAATCGGGAAACTTTGCTTCGGAGCCTGCATCAAGCGACAAATTTTTTATTTCGAAGTGACTAAATTTCTCGAATTTTTCTATGTTTGTCACATCACGGCTGAGAAGTGATGAATTTCTCGTTTCGACATACATTTTTTCAGCGATAAAATTTAGTGAAAATTGTAGTTTGCGTTCTAATATGTGTTTTCAATGCTTGTATGTAGAAAACTTCAAACGAGAGTGACTTAACTAAAAAATATTCTAGATTATGAACTCTGATTCGTGCATCAGCAACGAATGTAAAGCCTACTCGTTGATTTATAAAAGCAACTGCAGATATACTCGTACATTCCAAAGCACCAGTTTTGCAGGGGCTTTCTGCTTTTTCACGATGATGAGCTGGTGTACCAGTAGAAGTATGGGCTCCTGACAGCCAAAGAGCACCAGAAGAGAAGGCATGAGGTATAGTTATCAGCATCAGGTGCTCGGGCAGCAGTATACCTCCAACAGGGACAACACGGGAAGGAGCTTCATCCGATGAGGTGGCTCAGAAATAACCGCTAGAAGATTAAGATCCATTTCCTGAAATTAGAAGACATACGTTATCACCAAACCAAATATTGCATATTTGCAATAATAATTCATTATAAAAAATATATTTTGCTAACCATTAGGCACCAAAGCAGGCGTCAGCCCAATTTTTTCCGAACGGGGGTCAAGCATCCCCAAACTTGCTGTTGTTGGTAGATATGTTGTTTAAACACATTCCTACTACAAGAGATTCACAGTGCCATGACTGTAGCTGATCATATTAACACCCCGTGCTGTCTCATTACCAGTCACAAAATATAACTTCTGAACTCCCAAAAAAGCTTGTTCTGCCATAAGCATGGAAAGATAACTATGCTGGTAACCTGTGAACTGTTTCTCTTCCTAACAGATCTAACAGAAGTTGGCCATCCAGCAAGGCTAACTAGTAAGAATGAACAAAAAGATCCGATGACAGGCCACATTCACTTATGCTTGGCAATCTCTACAACTATTTTTTTCCATTTGGACCGCCATTTGGACCGCCAATGAGCGAGTTATTAGGTCTCAAAAGTTACAATTTATTATTTTAGTAGGCTTCGAGTGTTATTCGTACACCAAACTTTTGTACTCTTGAGGCACTCTAAACCTCATCCGCGGGTACAGCGGAAGTACCTGACGACAGTAAATTTAATGAAGAAAGAATCGAAGGCACGAGCAATTTTCACGCACGAGCTGAATCACTAGAAGAAATAATAAAAGTTAATTTTTTTTGTTTTCATTGGATTAGAGGTTTAGTCTCACAGGTACGATGGTTGCTGTAGTTGCTGCTTAAGGAATAACATGAGCAAGAAATTTCGACTCGGCTGGGCGACATTATTCTTGGAGCGTATCGTGGTAGGTGGTACAAACATTTCATGCCGTGCTACAAAGAACTTGTTTGAGAAAACTTTATTTATAACTCAATATTTTGATTCATTCCAGAGCGTAAGAAGTCTGCATGCAGAATTGATAATTGTTGTTGCAAACCTTCACAATCTGCATATGGCTTTTTGTTGTTTTCAATTTGATTTGATTTTTCAGTTGAATAACTATAAACTAAGTCGATGAATAAGTGCAGACAATTTTATTATTAGGGTTTGATTTAAAAACGCAAGATTGTCTTCCTATCTCAGATGTTATGTGATATATCTAACCTCAGGCTGTGGATAGTATAAGATATTCGCTACGGGAATAATAGTCTCGCAGTAATCAGTTGCAATATTAAGCAAACTAAAAACTTCGCATGCATCCTTGTGTTAAAATGTATTTGCGTGCAACTGTTCAATGAGTCTCCCGTATTTCTTAAATGGAAGCGTCGGGATAATTTCTGCGTCGGGTTAAACGCTCGTACGCTTTTAGTACACATAGTTACGCTTTTTCGGTCATTGATCCCATCGGACGCTGTTCGCTTTACACAACGAACTAAATTAACGCTCCAAGCTACGTTTATTTGCATCCCGGTTCTACATGCTAAAGTTGTGACCCTGCAAACCGCGGTAATCGTTAATAAACCCTTATTACACCCGATTAATCAGAGTGCGATTAAGCTAATTCAATATTAAAATAAGTGACTTTCATAGGTCGTTGATATTTTATTAATTTATTTAATGTTCTAATCTTTCTAATCATATTATTATATGGTAGGTATTATCGATAATTTGTCAACAAATAATAAGCTGCATGAAACTTAAATATTATAAAATGCCTGGGGAGATTAGAATGCTTTCTTGTTAGGTGCTCAAAATGTGCAGTATGTTAGGTGCAGTAATTTCATAGGATCATGATCAGGTTAGATAACTAAATCAATTAATCCTTATTCAGGTTCATAATGGTTTCTAGAGGGTCAGAAGATGAAAGTTTACTGTTCGTGGTTCTGTTAAATTTTGATGTTTATGGTCAATACTGCTTCCTCAAGCAGATCAGAAATTTTTTAGGAATCTACAAGACGTCACACGCCTAAATAACTGTTAAAATTTTTTATTATAGATGCCCCTGCAGCACAGTTCAATATTCAGTAGTATGCATAGAATCTCATCACAAATAGTCAACATTTAAACTTGTTAAATTAGAGCATTACTTACTTGAACCAGCAAGTATTGAGTTTAAGGACCATTAATTTAATTTATTACTAAATATAAATTGAACTCGCCAAAGATAATTCAATCTCTGAACTCACCACTTTGAATTTTGAAGCTGCATGAAACTTAAATATTATAAAATGCATCTAGCCTGAGTTTATTATAAATAAGTTTTGCCTGAGGGCAAAAATTATACAACAATTGATTTAGAACTAAAGATACTAAAAAACTTAAGGAGATCACCCCAAAAGAAGATATAAAGATTGGTGTAGCGCGCGATCTCTCTTATATACCTGCTGGACCTGTCGTGACGGATGTCGTCTTAGCAGCCGAACATGCGTGGTTGGCGTCGGCGGTGCAGCTCTGCACCTGCGAGTCATGAGACGTTTGTATTACCACAACTCAACATAATGAACATATGATACGAATTTAAAAGGAGAACATATGATATGAATTTATTTCCTAAGGCAAAAATCAATGCGGAAAAATTTAAAATTTGAGATTGAGTTAGAATTACTAAGAAACGGATAGAATTTAATAAAGAATTCCTGCCTAGTTTCACACGTTCGTAATTTAGCATCTCTAAACTGTTAGATATCAGAGCTGTTTTACAGATTGAAGTATTAAATGGTGACAAAGTAAGAAGTAGTTTTCAAGTAGATGAATTTCCAAAATACAGTAGTCATGTTTTTGAAATTTAAAAAATTCTTATATGAGGAATTGAATTGTAATTCTTGTAAAAAGGTTATGATAATCCATCATGGACTCCAGAAGTTCATCACAAATTGAGTTGAACTCATGTCGCGTTGAACTAATATCGAAAGAAACATTACATTAGTTCAACTCGTATCGAATTGAACTAATATATAAGTTCAAAACAAACAGATGCTAAAATTAAGTTATTTTATTTTAATAAAATTAGATGATTAACAAAAAACGAAACAAGATGAAAAAAATGCAACTCAAAAATGTATTGAACAAGTTTCATACAAAGATTTTAAATAAGTGTATAAGCTTCCAATTGAACTTCTTAATAGAATGGGTGAATGGGTCAAACCTGGATCTGAGTACGATAAAACGTACGGAATAAAATTTGACGGAGGGAATGCTAAGGTATGAGATGCAATTGTGGACATTCAAATTAGCTATTGTTGAATGAGTGATGACGTTCTGGAAGTTTTTCGGTTATGGGAGCTACTAGCAAAACAAAACCCTGAAAACCGCGAAGAAAAATATGTCAGAAATTACCTGCGAATTAAGACACAGACTGGGGCTCATTTCAGGTCGTGTTGGACAAGAAAAAAACAGAGGACGTAAATGCTGCTAATTCATGTCTTCTGAATAAAGCGACATATATAGAAGGGAAAATATTGTCATGGAGGTGCTACAATTAGAGCGTAAGTCTTTCATATAGGGAACAAATCACATTACCAAGGACAGGTACTTCAAAATCTGGTTCAAAACTTTCATTGATCATATAATGAATAATTGTTTTACCTTCTACCGGTAATGCTATTCTTAAAAGATATTATTTATTATTCGGGTATCTGCATGTTGGAAACACAGGAGTCTCTGATAAACTGCAAGTATTCCAACATGAACTTCATAAAAGAAATTTATTAAATGATCATGAAGATATGTAAATGTCAACAATTTATGTTGAAAAATTAAATCACAAAGCAAACTTATTACCGGCAGAATGAGTGTCATTTATACACACTTTACAACTGCAATAAAATTAGACAAAATGAATTTCATGAACTGGCATCGGTGGGACTGGATATGTCATTCTACCACGAATATCGATGAAACAAATTACAAATTTCATTGGAAAGTTATGACTTATGAGTTATATAAATGTTATAACAATCCCGATCGCATGCCACGAGATGGAGTGTATAAATAAGAACAATGAAAATATACTCAAGGAACTGATTGATATTAAGCCAAAAACCAATACGAATAAATATGCTATAGCCACTCACTATCCTCAATTGTAAGTTTATTTGAACAAACACATCAGATTGTATATTCTGTTTGGCTTTGATGCCGGAATCTTGGAATGTGAGGGAGAACGTGTAACTGCGAATATAGTATATATAATCTCTGTTAAAACTTGTTCACTGCTGTATAGTAAATGGATAAATCGTAATGATGATTTATGTATACAATAATTGAATACTTTTTTTCCCTAACATCCCCATGGCATAAAAATATGCAGTATTTTGGTCATCTAATTTATACGTAATCTCCTAATTTGGTTAGTAGATAAAAATAAAATTATTTTTAATAGCCGATGTAAAGAAATAAATGTTAGATTGCACTTATGATAGAGACAGGATGATTTTTTTAGATAAATTAATTATTAAAGTAGAGAGCACACAATGAAACGGAACTGTTCAAATCGACTGAAAAAATTGAAACTCATGATTATGCGCCTCAAATTGAAACTGATTTAGATCGTAAACTTAATGATAGCAAGATTATTAATCAGAATAAAGATCAATTTCCATTACCAACTCGAAGTAGTCTTTATATCGAAGGAACATTGAGGATGGCAGTAATTATAAATCCAAAGATGATGTACAAATGAATGTAATAACAGATTGTCGTATATATATTCGACCAAAATTTTTATAGAATAAACGCGGAAATTGATCTTCATAGTTATACTGGTATTGCAGCAACTGTAAAAGGTTGACAATGTATCAGCAAAGCTGCAGAGAAAATATGATATTCTGGATTCTCGATAGGTGCTAAGAAAAACAAAAAATCAACTGACTGAATCAATAAAAGTAGGGATTATTTAGGAGCCGCTGACGGCCAGTTCAAAGCCACAATTCCACAAAATATTATTTCCATTTTAGGTGAAAATCGTAACAAATTAATTTATGCAGTCAAGGACGACTTAACCTCGAGGAGAGGTGACGATGCTAATGCTCCCTTCGAGGCTGGTGATAAGATGCAAATAATCAAGATAAAGTTCTTGATGTCGACTTTCAAACACTAACTTGGAGAATGCCAGCTTATAAACTCTCCGATGAAAATAAGATTAAATTCTATTACCGTAAACTGAATGAAATTCGATTATCAATTGCATTTTTCAATCGAAAATTAAAATGAACTATTGTTAGCCCAAGTCAAAATTTTTTAGATGGGACTTTGGTACCAAGTTCAGGAACCCGAACAATACATTATATCATTTTAACCTTCAAACTGCTACAGATAATTACAGATTTCAAATACACTAAGTGAGCACAGTGATTAAAAATGATTTTTTTGACTGAATGAAAGGTATCCTGAGTAAAACTAGAGATAGAACTGACGCTAAAGCTGGTTTCCGAATCGCCCGCTCATTAGAGAAGCGCTAACATTTTGAGCTATTTTATTCGCTTTAAAATTCTTGATACTACGACTAGTCAGAGTGATTACACTGTAGAGGTCTTATATTGAATGCTATTTTATCGTTAGGTATAGGCTTTTAGTTAATCAATGTGTTGTCAAGTTAGAATAAGTGTTAGGAGGTTTGAATTGTAGAATATTGTAAGAATATTTTAGAGAGAACTGAAACTGTGCTGGGAAATTGCGGATAGGAAAAGGCAGCAGTTGGAACGCGGTCGTGCACGCAGCTTCTGGTGGTGTGTAAAGCTAGTCTCTCGGAGCGAAGCTACTAGGTGTCTATTTGCCGTGTTACAGTCTTTAGTGTGAATGAAACTTTTAATGTAAATGTAACGTTTTGTGCAATAAGGTATTTTACTGGGACCGTTATTTAAATGAACATTGAACCTGCCATTATACGCACGACATATTTTACGCACGACAACACCGATTGCAATATGCCCTTTGCAGAGCTTCAAGACATGTGGTATGAAACGCATGCAATTAGTAAGTAATACTTTTCTGTTGATCAATAAGAATGAATGAACACATCTGCTCTGAAACCATGTGAAAATTTCAAATCAATCATGCGGTTGAAGTAACTCAAGTAATGCATGCTCTGGTTAATTCATGCTGTTTAGCTCGGCAACGGTGCTGGATTGGAAGTGTAACAAGTCCGGTCAACTGGGCGGACAGATTGCGGCCAGTATGCTGGTGTGCGTGATTCCTATGGCACGCATACATGTAAATTAATATGAATATCCTGGGGGAGCATGAATATCTTTCCCCAAATTAAGCTAATTACAAAAACAATTAGCAGAAAATATGATGGCGAAAACTGCCCTTATCGGCATTTGGTGATTTCGGATCCATTTAAATATTTTCTCGGATTTTTTATTTACCCTATCATTTCACCCGCGCCGGTTCACAATGATGCTCCGCCGCCTTATCCCTAGTACGCAGTTCCCTACACTGAGCCTGACCTCAATGTTGTAGGTGCGTTCAGGTTGTAGTTCCTTGATGGTGTGGCAGAAATGGGATGCGCTGTCGCTGCACTCCGACGCTTGGACGTAGTGAGTGACTGTAGCCACCTTGACGCGGTATCCCCTGATGGCGGCCATGGGAGGACAAGGTTTCCTCCACCGCAGGCTGATGGAAGTGGACGTCGCGGAAGAGGCCAACTCCTCCACAGGCCCAGGAGCTGATGACAACCACGGAATGTTTGAATTAGAAGTGGTATCATGAAGTTTTGAGCACATTCTTGTTATTTGATTTGTTTACAAAAAAATAACTTCCAGAGATAGGAAGGTAATATATTTAATCGATTTGTATGCAGTAAATTATTACAGAGTCATTTTCATTTGCGGCAGCGAGTGAGGAAGTTAGAGGTAATGGCTATGAGGTCTCAATTATAACAGTAAAGAGAGGCAGTCTCGCTCACCTTCCTCCGGCAGGGTCTGGAACACTTCGCACTTCATATTTTCTCCTCCGTCGTTGTATGCGTACACGCACACCTCGTACTCAGTGTACGCCTGCAGCTGCGTCAGCTCCCGTTTAGCCGTGCTTAATTTGTGGAAATGTTGAACGACGTCGGTTTTCTTTGGGGCACAATCTTCTCTTGATTTCATCTGCGTGAAATATGCATAAATTATGAACATTGAAACATGTAACAGTTCTTAATATCCTTGAAATAGCATGTAGTTTTTCACAAAGTACGAAAATCTGAGGATATACGATATTCATGACTGAACTGTCATGGTGTATGACTTTGCTTTGATCGAAAGTTGAACGATCTGCTGCGTAAATGTAATATTCCGGATAGCTGAAAGGACTAAATTTTCTTAATACAAGTATTATGAAATTATTTAATTATTACTCACATATTTTTCTACCCTGAATAACGACCATAAGTCTCATAACTGGATTATTCTAATCTTATTTGTTAATACTTACTGCCAGAGTTACGTTGAAAAATTGCTGATTCCGCCACGTCCAAGAAACGCTGGCGGTCAGCGGCCGGTGTGCGCGCACTTGAACTGATCAGAGCGGCACGCGCCTGCAATCACAAGTAATACGTTAGGTTATGTTAAGACCATAATTGAGAAGGTGTAAACACGGAAGATAAATCTTTGCATAATATCGTAATAATCTTGCGTTATACTGACATGTATTTTATGCCATGTTATCAGTCTTCCTTCCTATATACTGCTTTTCCGGATGTTCAGCTACATTATTTTCTATAATCAGTATTTAAAAAAAATTGTAACGGTCGTGGATATGCAATATCTGATATTAAATAAATGCTCATTCTATTATTCCAACGAATTTTACTGCACATGTAGTACTTCCGAAAGCGGAATTTTCGCACCTGCTTAAAATCGAATGAACGTGGAAGAATTGGGGAGAAGCAAGTGGTTCATTAGCCGGGCTGGAGCTGAGCTCACCACAGAGTGAGTGTTTGGTTATAGAAAGATTTTATTGAAGGAGGGATTACCGAGAGATTATGGCGCCTCTCTAGTGTTTCAGATATATCTTTTAGGCGATAACTGCTGACAATTGTTCTAAGCGATTAGTGATGGCAATTGTTCTGAGTGATTAGTGGTGACAATTGTTCTGAGCGATTAGTGATGACAATTGTTCTAAGCGATAACTGATGACAATTGTTCTGAGCGATTGGTGATGACAATTGTTCTAAGCGATAACTGATGATAATTTTACTATGTGAAAATGTATGATTATTACTATTGGCGATAATTGATGACTATTCAACCGAATGCTGATTCTAACGATTCAAATCAATTCTTAAAGGGATGAAAGTCCAGGGAAGGGTGATCCAGAGAAGGGTGGTCAAGGGAGGATAGATTAAAGGGGTGTCGTCCAAGAAGGGGCAATCCAGAAGGGGTAGCCCATGGTGCGCTCATCCAGCTAGGGAGGTTGGCCCATGGACGGTTGAACCAGTAAAGAATGACCGAGAAAGGAAGAATGACCGAGAAAGGGTGATCCAGGGAGGGTTGACCTAAGGATGGGTGAACGTGGGAGGGATGATCCAGTGTGGGGTAGCCCGTGAAGGAGTGATTCGTGCAAAGCTAATTTTTTTTTAACCTCGGAAGGCAAGATCATAACATACACTTAGCCATCATATTAATTTTATACCTACGCCGACTCATGATGAGATGACCACACATTTACGGACTCATCACATCAGCCGTGTACTCACAATGCTTCTCATCACTCCAGTCCCCGCAGTTGTTGTCCAAGCCGTCGCATTCATGACGCTTGTGGATGCACCTGCCGTTGCCACACACGAAGTGGTCGCCGGTGCAGCCTGCGATAAATAAAGGAAGCCGTGAATGTCTGGCTAACTAATAAATATAACTAACTAATTTTATACAGGGTGATCGAGTTTCTTGAACGCAAGGCGTGTAAGAATATAGAGGGTAAGAACGTGATGTACGTCTTGTTTATGACATCGGATTGGAGGGGATGGAAAAGTCCCATATGCAATGGGTTCAGTGGGCCCAAAACTTGCTGTGGAAAGAAAATCTAGGATCCAGAAGAGGTAAAACTCGAAAACTCGACTTAGTCACAGCATAGCTTGCGAAACGTTGATAATAATTCTATAGTGAAATGTTATAATTGATAGCTATCGACGAATAATTCATTAATATTCAAGGAAATAATTTAATGTTAGGAATAGAAACAGATCCCATATTAACTAAAAATAAAAGACAGTAGAATCGCGCGGAAGTGTTTGACTCGTCAGGCAACTCACAGTCGCGCTCGTCGCTGTCGTCGCCACAGTCGTTGCGTCCGTCGCACCGCCACGTCTCGTCTATGCAGCGGCCGCTGTTGGTGCACTTCTGATCAGAGGGGCACGCGCCTGCAATCACGAGTAATGTGGTAGGTTATTTTAAGACCATAATTGAGAAGGTGTGAACACGGAATATAAATCTTTGCAGATCACGAAATAATCTTTTCTACTGGCATGTATTTTATGCTATGTTATCAATCTTCCTTCCTATATACTGCGTCTTCCGTAAGTGTTCAATAATCATGATTTCTAACACAATTTAGAAATGTCTTTAATTTGAAATATCTGATTTTAAATTAATGCTCATTCTATTATTTCAACGGGTTTTAGTGCACATGTAGTACATCCTTAAGCGGAATTTTTGCTACTGATTAAAATCAAATGAGCGTGGAAGAATTGGGGAGATGCGAGTGGTTCATTAGCCGGGCTGGAGCTGAGCTCACATCAGAGTGAGTGTTTGGTTATAGAAAGATTTTATTAAAGGAGGGATTACCGAGAGAATATGGTGCCTGTCTAGTGTGCCATACATATTCTTCCAAGATTAATGATAAAAGAGTCATTTATCCACTTAGCCATCACCTTAATTTTATACCTACGCCAACTCATGATGTGTGACACACACTTACTGACTCATTACATCAGCCGTGTACTCACAATGCTTCTCATCACTCAAGTCCCCGCAGTTGTTAAAACCGTCGCATTCATCACGCTTGTGGACGCATCTGCCGTTGTCGCACACGAAGTGTTCACCGGTGCAGCCTGCGATTCCTAAGTAAAAAGATGTTATTGGCACAATAAGCATTCAAAACTTGAAACATTGTAGCAAACAAATTTCTACATTAGCCTTCTATATATTTGGGTTATTGTATGTCTGACGTCTGGAGCTTTTAGATAAAGGTCTATTTAAGTGCGTATCCAAGATACCTAAAGAAATGGGACTTTACCTTGGCCCAAAATAGTTTTTAGGGGTCGAATCATCAAATTATGCAAATCACCAAAATCAAATTGTATCCTAGAAATGTAAAACTGAAAATACCAACGAACTTCCTGAAAGAGATATAAGTGGCTGTTTAAGATTTACATAAGTCATAATAAGTCATAATAATTAGGAATTTAAAAGCAAAGAAAACACCAAGCAAATTCACCATATCGATATTGACTTATAATACTGTCATAATACTGTCATAAGTTTAACATTATTTTGCCTAAAAAGCAGTCAACAGGTTAGAAAAACGCAAGTAAAAATGAAAGGTTATACTGTAATCACTAACCATGTACAATGTATCGCCACAGTACTTGATTCCGTCGCACCGCCGCGTCTCGTCTATGCAGCGGCCGGTGTCGGCGCACTTGAACTGATCAGAGCCGCACACATCTGCAATTACAAGTAATTCGGTAAAAAATTTTTAGATCCCGTTTGAAAAAAATTCTAAGGTGTGTATTCATTTTTTTTGTGGTCACGAAGTAATTTTTCAGCTTCATTAATTAAAGTGTAATTAATTATGCTATTATCTTAATTTATCGTTTAAGTAAATTGACTTATTTCGAAGGAATCATGAAAACTTTGAGGTGTTGTTATCGGTCATTAGCTTTAGGGTTATTAGGCGGGCTGCATATATGAGCTCATCCCGAAAAGAGTGTTTTGTTCTAATAATATATCGGTGAATGAGGGGAGCAGAAGAAGGGATTACCAGGGGAATGTAGTGTTGTTACGTATGAATTACCGAAAATAACAATGTTGTTTCGATGGGATAACAGTTATGCCGAGAAAGAAACGGACAGAGCATTGAAATGCCAGTTATTTGAATTCAATTCATATTAACCCCAAGGAACCGCACCTGGAGACTCAGACTCACCTGCGCCTGCAGAAGCTGCGGTTGCCGCGGCTGCCAGGAGCAGCAGCAGCCTGCAGCAGCTGCTCGTGCCCTGCAGAGCAACAAGAGCTGTGAGTGACGTCGCCTGGTGTTTGCTAACATTCTTGCTATCACAACTGGGAGCATAAAATTAACCTTTAACAATGATTAACCTGATGCCAGTTGACTTCATGGCTGCAGGACATCGTAAGGGCGCTCATTGGTCGCTTGCATTGTTGCGCTCATAAGTAAATAGCAGTGAAGAATGTATGTACCCTGTTATATAACTGAATATTCATTTTGTCGCTAACTAGTGACGCAATGAATGACCTTCATGACCTACCTATTGACGCTATAAGTAACCTTAACGTAACTAGTGACGCTAGAAGCAATTCTCATGACAAAGCCCGCATACCAGAGGGGCTCTAGAATCGCATTCCAGCGTTGGCCCGGCGGTTCAACATCACACAGAAAGGATAAAACTAAATTGGTGATGCCAGTCCAAATGAATGCTTCTTTGCCATTACAATTTTAAATTTTGATAGAAATACTCTCCAATCCCAGCAAGCAACTACGCATCATCAAACCATTGTTGTTGAGTTGCCATAAATATGATTAGTTGGAAAATGCATTGGGGACGGATGCAGCAATGATCTGAAATTACCCTGATATCGGAACCCTTTTAATAAACACTGCCATCTCATCGCGGAGACAGCCTGCCTCCATAACGTTATCCTTCTAGGTCTGCACCTCTATTACTATTGTTATTTATTATTATTAGTCGCATTGTCTACTAGACAATATGACTATTAAGCCTACAAACACTCGTAGTTTTATTTTTATAACATCGCAGTACCGGCATATACACACTCGCTCAACGCACTCCACAACAAATCTGAGTTTGAACGGACGCACTCGGTTAGACTCCTGCGTTAGGTACTTTTCCTATTCGAGACGAGGCGAGACCACAGCCTCTGTCTCGGAGAGAGTTGGAAATCGTGAAAATTTTAAGCACTCCGTGGAATTCCAGGACATTACCGAGACGCGATGTCTCAGATGAAATAGGAGCTTTAAAATTTCCCGGAAGTTTTGTAACGAGACAAAACGATACGCAGTAGCATATCCTTTATATGATTTTTAAATCTTGAAACTTTGCAGACATTATCTGCTGAACGACATATTGTCCGTTTTCATTCAAAGTTTAAGGTATATCGTGCAAGGGGGTCTGTTTGCTTCAGGGGTCAATGGAGAGTAGCGGCCAGTGGCTGCCTGTTGTTAGACTACTTTCATCCATTAATGTTTCCAAAAGCGGACATTTACCAGTAATATTTTAATTATGCTTATTTTTAAAAATTTTTGGTGTAAAATTGAATGACCGAGCTGTCAAGCGAACAAGTTTAGAGAACAGAAGGTGGTGCGTCAAATGTCCGTTGTAATTATTGTGAATCATAGCGATCATTTCCATTTCACTATCGTTTCGCAGAATGTGCTCGAGCTGGTCGGAAATTTAATAAGTTTAGTACTGGTGCTTGGACGCCGACCCTGCATGCATGTACAGCGTGCAAGTTTGGGCTTCAACGTCGCATTGAGTTTTGGGGCTCGCGTGTAGCGCTCACTCATCTTAGTGTTGCGTAACTGCAGGTGAAGTTTACTGATAATTCATCGATGATTTAAAGGTTCCTATTCATTGATGATGCATTACAGGTTTACTTCTAGTGGCCACTCTCAATAAGTTTTTAAAAGCCACCAATAAATTTTAATGCCGTGAGTTCTGTTCTTAGTTAAATTATTTTATTTGAAATGAAATATAAATCGCGAATAAATAAATCATCATTTGGTAGCTTTGCGAAGTATTTAGTAACTTTTTCTCACTAACCATAACAAATAATGCTGTTAGAGCGCCATTTGTGGCATCCACTACATTTCTAAGATATTCGAAACTTAATTGATAACCTCGACCTTATTCGACATAAAAAATTTAACTTGACCTTCCTGATCATGAATCTTTTATATTTTCTCTTCCAGGGTAACGAAAAACAGTTATAACCGTTTGTTAACTCGAGATCAGGATACAATAGAAGAAATCAATATATTATGTCAATATTATTGTGAAAATTTTATTTAATTTTGACAACTTGCAGTGAAATCACGCCAACGCTACCGGACCAGACGTCGAACATGTATGCCCATATATGGTCAAAAAATGTGCTTGATACGCAGAGTAATGTACTAATATTAGAAATATTCACTAATGGTTGGTAGAATCACCAATTCTCATATAACATTATATTTGTGGAACGATTACATGTCATTCAGAGTATTGTGTAATCTAGGTTTTTATACTCGGGAAATAGATAACTATGATTTGATGCTTCTTTACGGTCTTATAATAATATACGTTTAAAAATTACTTTTTAAAGACAACACTTCCAAAGAATCCAGTGTCTCCAATCTTACAGATGTACAATGAATTTCTCATTTAATTTTCGAATATTAAAAAAATTAATTTTTCAATTTTTTTAATATATACATTTTTTTGATATATAATTTTTTAAATTATCTATTCTATTAATTGATTCATGCATTGCCTCTGACTTCACACAAGTGAGCAAAATTTCAGATCAATTAGACAGGTAAAAGTGTGTCAATTATCAGTTATAAGATTTGTAGCTGACAAAATTATTTTTTCAATTTTTTTAATATTGAAAATAAATTTTTAATTTTTAAAATAATTTATATCGACATTTGATTCATGCATTGTCTCCAACTTTACACAAGTGTGCAAAATTTCAGATCGACAGGATAAGTAGAAGTGTGTTAAATTTCGGTTACAAGATTTGTAGCAGACAAACAAACATCAAGAAGTGAAGTTAAAGAGAAGTGTTGTAAAATGGGAAGTGTACATGTGCACACTTCAAATTGAGAGCACAAATTAGCTTGTAATTAACGCTGATTACTTGAGATAACGTCATCATTCTAATACGTTGAATTATATTTAAAAACCTTTCTGGAAAAGCAACAACTGATAATAATATCTGAATTATTCTAAGTCTGAATTTACGTTTTTATCGAGCCGTAATCATCTAAGTTATTGTCATTTATCCTGAAAACTATTCGACATTCACGATCTTCATCATTGATTGGTTTATTGCATCATTCACCAAATCATGGCTTGTTCATGAATCAGAGATAAAATATCACAGCAGAAGCACTTTAATACCTAGATGTTTATAAATTAAAGATAGATTCCGTTGAATTAACTACCTAATATGTCTCAATTGTTTCTTCAGGAGTTATCTCATAGCTTCACATCGACAATTAGTACAATCAATAGAATGATATTTTCATATCTTCTATCAAATCTGTGTATGTTTTAATTCCAATTAGGTGTGTAACCGTTACAAATATGATATAAATAAAACTACAGTGAATCCACTTTTGACTATACGCACGCAATGGAGTTTCTGCTTTGACTCATGCTCATCGGGTTATGGGTAGCCGGTAGCTGACTAGCTATTTCAATTTCGTGTGGAGTTGCGCGTGTGGTGTGAGCACTATTTCTTTGTCTTACCTGTTTAAATTTGGTCAAAATTAAGTTTAACCTACGTAAAAATTTGAAATGCGGGTTCAGGAAAATTTTTTAGTGTCTTCCACGACTTTTGTTTACGTTTCATCTATCAATTATGTAGTATCACCATTATTTTATTACTCATGGGTTCTTAATGGCGATCCCACTGCACTGGTTAACCTCCTAGACCTGGGCGATGCCCATATGTTAGCTCGTATTCCATAAAAGTCACTGAAGCTTGAAACTGCTCATGTGAGTTATCGGTGGACAGAATTTAATTTCGTATGCAGTGCAGTTTTAATTGTACTATAGCGTATACATTGAACGAAATAAATTTAACTTGTAAAGTTGTAATATTACATTCATCAGTCCTCGTTGTGGCTATGAAGCCATCGCCGGCTTGGTCGCTACCCTGTCAAAATTTTCGTGCCGATTAAGGTCGTTTTAGAGGAACTATATTCGGCTTAGGGGTGAATCAGGAGCAAGTCGGCCACGTAGGGTGTTTTGCTTCTATTTACCAGCCTCTTTTGGAAGTCAATTGCCCGGTAGGCCAAATCTGCGTAATATAC